CAGTTCATACCTTTATCTCCTGATGCATGGAGAAATGAGAGAAAAATAGTAATAGATGAAAGAAAAATAGAGAAATTTTTCTACTAGTGGACCAGCAGTCCCCAACCTTTTTTGCACCAGGAACCAGTTTCATGGAAGACAATTTTTCCACAGTCTGGGCGTAGGGGGGTGGTTTCAGGATGATTCAAGCACATTACGTTTATTGTGCATTTTATTTCTATTATTATTACATTGTAATATATAATGAAATAATTAGACAACTCACCATAGGTTGGGGACCCCTGAGTCATAGTACTAATAAAAGCACATAGCTATACTTCTCCGCCTGTAATAGAAAAACCTGTCTTTGGTAGCAGCAGCTCCATACCAAATTCTGTCCTACTTTTGAATTCCTTCATACCCCTGGAAAACAAGGTGTCTTTGTTTAGAGGGAAATTAGAAGGGCCAAGGTCTAATGCTATAATACCTGTTATATCGGCTTATGCAATGGAAAATGCCACTAGCATTGTCAGTGAGTCAGTAACTCAAAGGTGCTAATGTTAGTCCTAGTAACTTAAAACAAATACAGCTATGATTTAGTCACCAAGACTCAGAACATTGGCAAAGACATTTAGAAGAAGCCTGTGGCTATCTAATCCCAAAATGATTTATTCCCTCTAGATTCTGCAGGCAAAATTGATTTATGACAACCTTTGAAAAATAATAAAAGAACTTTGAACTCTGAGATTTGGCTCTTCTGGAAGATACTTAATGGTGGAATAAAATCCCAAAGCTTTCACCTCGCTATCACAGTACAATGACTGATAGTTTTGTATTTCGTATTCCCTGCCTAAATCTGTTATTACCCATACGAGGGATATGGTAAGTATATCTGGATAATTCTCATTGTTTTTCATATTATTATATTCTCCATATTATATTTGCTATTTTCATGTTGTTTAGCTGGGGGTAGAGTTAAGCAACCAGTAAACACTCTGCCTAACACACTACCATTTCTTCATTCTATACTATTGTTTTCTTTTTCCTTTGTAAGAGAACTTTTATACATACTCTTATTAGCTTCATTCCTTGTGAAGTTGGACAATTTTTCCAAATCTCAGTCTACTCATCTCTTCATTATAAATAATCCCTGGCCATAAAAAAAGTGTTACAAGAAGGGGATGTTGTATTTTTTTCTTAGTGAGCCATCAGTGCTCTGAGAAAGAGCAATGACTTTGCTTAATTAACACCGTTCTCTAATGGAAAGAGGGTGTTGGCCAATACAGATTCATTTTTAAAATATATTCTTCATTTAAACTTCTGATGTTGGCAATGATCCCAAATTCAAGAATCCAATTATGAGCCTGAAAGTTTGTTTTCATTCCACAGAATTCTGGAATTTCCTACCTTTCGTTCCATGATCCTTAGAATTACTGAGCCTCCTTTTCTGTGGATTTGATTTTGGCTACTCTTCTCCCAATGTGTCACAATCTTGCATATTTAGACATTTGACATTTATCGTACAAATCCATTTGGATACTGATTCAGGATGAGCCTTCCTCCCTCCTTTCACTAAATATTTATACATAGCTCTCTCAGTCCATTTTGTGTGGCTGTAACAGAATACCTGGGTAATTGATAAAGAAAAGAGGTTTATTTGGCTTATGATTCTGGTGGCTGGAAAGTCCAAGATTAGGCACCCACATCTAAATTAGATTCTTTTAACAACCCACTCAGGGGAACTAATCCACTCCCCAGAGAGTGAGAACTCATTCACCCCCAGCAGGAAGACATTAATCTATTCATGAGGGATCCACCCTCATGGCCCAAACACCTCCTACTAGGCCCCACCTCCCAAAACTGCCCCTTTGGGATCTAATTTCAACATAAGTTTGGGTGGGCACAAACCACATCCAAACCTCAGCACCAGCATTATGATATTCCAAATCTTATGTTATGCTTACTGGGTTGTTTTTTTTTTTTTTTTTGCATACAAATATTTAACATGTCTATGTAGAAAGATATTTTTATTAGTGAAGCATTTCCAGAATTTAATTTATTATCAGAAGAGCATTCCATTTTTCATATTGGTTAATAATTTTGTCACAATCACAGTTTGTAATTACACATTATTCAGTTTATAAGCTTATATAGAGATATCTGGATACATAGATATATAAATATATAGATATAAAATTATAGTTATTTCTAATGATCTTCTATACCTTTATGTAAATGGAAAGACAAGTGATCTATGCATACATTTTTTTCAACAAAATTTTATTGCATACTTACTTACATCCTAATTATGTAGCATCATTCAAAACAAAAACAGATAAATTTAAAGCACTTAGATTTACTCTTGTAAATTTTACATTTGGTTACTCTTTGATAGTTGTAACTAAATGTTCTAACTAGGATACTAATGTATTTAAGCCATAATCATGCTTTTTTAATATAGTTAGAAAGTGTATGAGGGGAGGCAGGAGAATGTGTTATACAACATTATGGAAATGGAATTAAGTAATTAATTATAGATATGGTTGGAGGACTTAGAATACAGCTGTAAATGATTTTTAAAAATGGGGTATATATGAACCAGAGCAGTTTTTCAGGAGAGATTTGAAGAACAAAACAAATACAATCAAGCAAAAAACTACTGCAGCAGAAATGGATTTTGAGATCTAATAAAGGCATATTTAGACTCTGTGCCACTTTTGCTAGTAGCTAACATGTGATGAGATGCTTTCATACTCCCATCCTCCTATTACCTATATTCCGTATATAGAGATGCAAACAGTGGACAAACATTCAGGCCCCTCACCTGGGCCCTGGCACCTATATCACAGGCACCTTGATCATTCACAAACCAAAAAGAAAGTATCGTATATATCTCACCTTCAAGGGGACTTTAAAACAGATTTTTTGAGTTTGACAGTCCAAGTAATATACTAGACATCAATATAAGTATTTTATATAAATATAAACACATTTTT